TACCCTAAGGTTGTCTTGAAAAGATTGCTATCAGCAATAAGACCGCCTTACTGTACTTACATAATTGTATCGTTATATTTGTTAATTATCTTGCTTATTTCCTATATTGTATAATGCAAATGAAGTATACTTATTCATTCATTCATTAAAACTAATTTCACTCCAAAACATAAAATTAATTAGAACTTGTTTTGTTCATACTTCCGACAAATCAGCTTTAAGCTTATATTGTGTAAGTGGGAGAGTTGTCCCACTTTCCGATAGGATATATATTAGAACGAGATATTATTCTAACATATTTTGTTATTATATTTTTTTTTATTACCAATTTATATACTACATAGTTTAAAAGAGAAATCAAACATCCGTATAAATAATATAAAGAAAGTTACGTACACTATTTAATCGCGAATACTCATCCCATACCGATGTATGGTAGTAACAGGCACGTTTTCGCTTCAAAACTTTCTTGTAAGACATGTGATAAAAACTCTTCCGTTTTATTAGGTGCCTCGTGCTCTATTAGAAAAGTAAAGTGTATTGGAACAGAAATTCTTTAACAAATGGAAAAGAACGCTTTAATTATATATATATATATATATATATATATATATATATATATATATATATATATATATATATATATATATATATATATATATATATGAACATAAGCCTTGGAGATCTTATAAGAGAGACGCTGCTGCCCATCTTTCGAACATTAAGTTCCCTAAGTCGCTTCCCACGATGGCCTATGTTCAGCAGTGGACAGTTAACGGTTCATTTGGTATTAAATTAAATCCTAATAAAAATAAATATCTAAAGACATTTAGGTTTTGGTATGTTTATAATTTGATAGATAGATAGATACTCTTTTTTGTTTCCTCCAAAAGATTACAATAGTAAACTTATTATAAATAATCAATAATCACAATGAGAAAACAATTGGCGACCTTATCGCTAAAAGCGATCACTTCCAGGCAAACTTTGGATTTTGCTACTCAATAACACTTAAACGTCAGAAGGTATTTGAATGAAATTCGGTACACAAGTTAGTTATATCCAAATTCAATACATAAGAATTATCAACACATTATAAAAAATATTAAAATTAGTAAAACATAAAGCATACATTATATACTGATTCATAAAAAAGCCACGGCAAATAACAAGTTAACAACCTACTCAGAATAACGAAACGGTTATCTACCAAACATTGCAGCTAAAAAATATACGGCCGCTTTTAAAACATCGTTAGCTAAATAAAGTTGGGAACTTGAAGGAAACAATCTCTTATTAAAAATACTCAAGTGTACAAAGGAGGCTGCATGTTGGAGCTCGCTTTGAAAACTAGATATTTGGTGCCAGCTGTTTGCCATTAATTACTTACGTCAAATTACTGGATGGTTAGTTCGTAGAAAGATACTATTCGTAATATATTAGTTAGTATTAGTCTCAAATAAATTATTGTAATAGTTAATTATAAACTTTCGCGTTGTTTACACATATTTTAAATTCACGTAAAGTTCCTATCGTGAATTTAAAATACTGTGTTAGTAGATTACTGTATTTTTTTTACTAACTTTTACCCGCAAATTCGTCCGCGTGTCCGGGATATTTATTTATTTAACATTGCATTTCACCTATTACGTGAATTGTTGAAGGATTTTTAATAAATATAAGTACACAATACGGTCTTATAACTTGGACATGTTCATTGGTCAGGATAAAAAATAGTCTGTATACTTCTCCACCCCAAATAGTTTCATTATTTATATTTTCATTACATTATTTATATAATATTATTTATATATTTATATCTGCTATTAATTATCCACTACTAAACATAGGCCTCCCCATAAGAGGTTGTTTTGTCAATACTTAACAAGCAGTCGGGTTGGCGACCGCAACTAGGCTTTTGGTAATGTTTTAAGGGGGACACTGCTATCCATCCCTCGACCATTAAGTTCCCTTAGTCGCCTCTTATGAGACCCACGGAAAAAGAAGGGGTAGCCTATTCTATGCCGGGACCTTACAGCCAAGTATTATACGAGTATGTTATCCAAATTTCATTAGGAATTACTTATTATCAAGAGATGATTTTTATAAGTACTGAAAATTTGACTACAAATATAACAACTTACGAACTTAGTCGTTCAGTCGTAGCTACACTTCAGTACATTAACCGTTTTAAGCACTTTTTTCCTATTAAAACTAAAATTACACTTGTTCAAACACTTATTCTCCCCATTATTGATTATGCTGATGTGTGTTATCCTGATCTTAACGAAGATCTTCTTAATAAATTAGATCGTCTAATCAATAGTTCTATTCGTTTCATCTTCTGTCTGCGTAAATATGATCACATATCTCCGTACAGATCTCAGTTAAAATGGCTCCCTATACGCCAACGCAGACAGTTGAGGTTGCTTTGCAACATTTTCTCTCTTCTTATTAGTCCCTTATCACCAGAATACTTGAAATGTAGATTCAAATATCTCTGTGATTCTCATACACGCGAACTTCGTTCTAACGACTCTCTTGTTCTCTCTATTCCTCTACATCGTTCTGCTTTTGTTTCCAATTCCTTTACTCTTGAGGCCTCACGACTCTGGAATGCGCTACCCATGGACATAAGACAAATTTCTAACAAATTTATTTTTAAGAGAAAAGTCTACGAATATCTTTGGAAAAAACTGTGAAAGCAGTTCATCTTCATCATCATCACTTTTGATCTCTATCGTTGTTTATTTGTGTTATCGTATATAATCTATAAGTAGGTATATTTATATATGTATATTTATATTTGTATATATGTATTTTTTTACATATTTGTATATTTATGTAATATTTGTTTAATATATTCATGTATGTATATTTATATAATCTCTATTGTATGTGTTGTAATTTTTTTTCACCGCATATTAAAATTTCTGTTTTGCCAAAGGTTGACTGGGAAAGAATGCTATATAGTATTAAGTCCGCCTTTTGTACCAGACATTTTTTTTGTAATGTGGTCAATAAAGCATAAATAAATAAATAAATAAATACTTATTAATATCCTACTACTGGGTACCAATATTTCCTTATCAGTAGAGGATATCAGCCTACAAGCCTCCAAGTTGAACAGCGATTTAATAATTTGTCTGAAATTGCCTCGTTTAAAAGTGAAACACGTGCTAAACGTGCGATAACAAAATGGCAGTCGAAAATTGTTGACCAATATCGAAGATAGTGGAAATTCTGATAGTAATAATGGTAATCAATCTTCGAGTGTTGGCAGTCAAACATATACTGATGATAGCGGAAATAAACAAAATAATTCTAAACTAATAACCAATTCCTAGTTGTCCAAGTAACTTGATATAGGGTTACTGTTTTCATTCTTTTATTATTAATACGTATACAATTAATTCATAGCGAAATATTCAAGTCATAATCACAGTTTCATAATAAAGAATAGGTATTCGCCCCGAGTGTTGGCAGTAAATATTAACTTGCCGGCTCCCGTATAGGTTTCTTGTAAAATATAGGTGAACTTCGACTAGTTTATTTAATGGAGCTGTCGCCGAGTTTTGCTATAACTTTAACTAACTCCTAATTTCTCAACAAATCTAAGAGATCGATTAGTTGATGAGGGAAATTTTCAATGTAGGTAATAATTATTTTAAGCTGATTCTAAATTAAAAATTCACAATAAGAATTACGATCCCAATGTCCTTTTCAAACGGAGGAGATTCTGAATTCATCAGTGTGTTACGTTTATCAATCGCATCTTAGAGTTACCTGGAAGTGATCGCTAGTTAGAAATAAAGCCATTTCATGTTGCCTAGCTTATTTTTGTAACCCTTTTTTTATGTTTTTACAAGTATTTTCAAGTAATTGCATCTTCTTTAAGAGGAACAATAAAGGGTATTTATTTATTCATTCAAATGTGAACTGATTTATTACTTAATATATAAAATTCGTTATAATATTAATAAAATATTAATAATTAACTTAAAGATTATAAAAATAAGAAATAAGAAAGGGAGAACTCTTTTATCCTGTACTATTTTGGTAATTTCATTGTATACCACAAAAAAAAACTTAATAAAAAAGATTTTTTATAAATCGGTTTATAATTGACAGAGTTATGATGTAACAAACATAAAAAAATACACCGAAATTAGAAGCTTCCTTTTGAAGTCGGTTAAAATTTCATTTGGAGCTTTCTTTGTATAATTATCATAATTCAAATCATGACACTAGCCTACGTTACTACAAATGTGTATGATTTTAATTAGATTCGACTAATATTCCCGAGTCGGACTACATGAGAAAATCCATTCCATTCATTAGAAGGCACGAACCGAGACAGGCTTGCTACTAAAGATATGGATAAGTATTAATCTAAACCCCTCTCGATTTCCTGTTTAACTAAGATATTAGTACAGTCATTATAATAGTCTAACGAGAAACTATATGATTATTTAAAAATATTTCTATAAGCATCAATTTTATTTATTACATATATTTCATCATTGTACTTCATAATTTAAAGAAAAAGTTTTTAATATTAATTTCATAGATAATTAACGGCTGATATGAATGTAGGAATCATGTTTTAATAATGCGAGTTTATTAAAAATTCCAGCCAATCGTTGTCCACTGTTGAACTTATATCTCTCACAAATTGCAAATAGAAACAAGTCTCAAGCTTAGTGCATCTATTAGCTGCCTGTAACACATTTGACATCTATATTTGCTAAATACTCGAAATACAGAGGTACATTTATAAAATAATAATGATTTATTTCTATCACAATTTTACAAATATAATTAAATAAGTTATAATTAAAATGCAAATAGTCACAGAAGGATTGTGAGGGTCAAAGCCCAAACTAAGCTATAAATTTAGTACATCGTGTACCAAATCCTACTCCTGCTTATAAGTAAATTATGTAAGGAAGAAAAAGGCATATAACGCTAATATAATTAAATAAGTAAAATCCTCTCACCTGAGACCGGGTATAGTCGTCAAAAGTTGCCCTTCAGCCGTCACCCAATGTAAATCGGGTGCCGGGTGTCCTGTAGCACGGCAGGCTGCGTAGGCGCCGCGTGTAGCAGGCCACAACACCCGCGACGGTGGCTCCAACACAAAATGTGGCCTTTTGTCCCCGGTACTCGCCGCTTGCGCCACCGCTAGTGCGATAAGGATGCACGATGTCGCAAAACCTAAAATAAAAATGTTAATAAATCTACTGTCACGTACATGTCGTTGTCAAATAACTTTTATATGGGAGGAAAATAGAATGGTTACCCCACTTGCCCTATTAGTTTATCTTGACAGGGTACCCATAAGAAATGATGGGACCAAAAATTAACCACAATCGTTTCCAGGGGATTATATTCGATTGATCGTATCGATGAGATATATTGCTAACAATAGGGGTACTTATCCTGTTACTAACAATACCATCTCTCATAATTAATTTGAGCACTTACTTAAAACAGTATTGATATTAAGGCTTGCTAAAGTCATTATAATATTTAGAATTGTTTTTATACGACTTAGAATGGCAAACAGACAGCCCACATGATGGAAAATGATAACTGTTACCTATAGACACGAACAGTGCCATGGACATAACATAGTATATGTGTCGTCCATGATACCCTTCATACGTTAAAATTCCTGAGGACTAAGGTGTTAGTCTCTGTACCCTGTAATTTCCAAATAATGAGAAACTAGGTATAAAGTGTATTTTAATGATGAAATTGATGAGATTACAATGACTTACTATTGACGGGTTTTCCAGGCTACTCCAGAATATAACGCCATAACACCTAATTCCTCAGGAATTGCAAGGCAGGGGGGTATCATGAGCGAAATAGTATGCTCTGTTATGTCCATGGTACTGCTCATGTCTATAGGCGACGGTTACTACTTTCCATCAGGTGGGCTGTCAACTTGTTTGCCATTCTATGATGCATATAAAAAGCTAGTCTTTGTTTGTGTTACTGATATGTTCATAAAAATCGTTTATTATTAAAATCTCACTAATAATAGGATTTGCGGAATTATTTTATACTAGTTTTTACCCGCGACTTTGTTCTCGTAACCGGGATATATTTACATGTGTGACATTTTCCATACCATACTATATGTGTATAATAAATTTCATAGTGATTCGTTAAACCGCTAAAGTGCTATGAGGTAACAATCAAACTCATTTTCACGTTTATAAAATTAGTAAGGATGTAGCAGTGTAATCTAAAGTTGGTGTACTACTTGTTAAATGGTTTGAAACGAAGTAAAGTCGAGTTTCTTGTCAGACAGACTTCTTGCGACTTTCGCAACAGAGAATAACTTCTCAATTCGTAAAAGAATTATGACGGTTTGAAAGCGCTACAAGTAGTAACGAGGCTATTTAGCCTTTTAACCGCCTCGGTAGTATTTATCCGACAAATATTTTTCGTGCCCGTATCGTTCCTATCGCATTGATTCGACAGAAAATGTGTGCTTTCACATCTGTTTTTTTCTGTTTATTTAACTGCCTACTGCCTATAGAATACTAATAAAAGTTTACTACATTTTAATTTTTTTTTGTCTTATAAATATAAAAATAACTATGTATAATAATTTAATTCAAGGACCAATGACACAGCTAATTTTAAAAAATCAAGCAGTCAAAATGTTAAATCAGTGTAATCTTCAATCCATGGTAGGCACATTAAAAATCTACAAGAACAAACTTATATCTTCTGAAACAAAAAGTAAATCAATATTTTTGATCCACCCTTTCTGCTTGTCAAAGTTTGATTGTAGAAGAGCTCTTAAAGGGATAAGTCCGCCATTGTATCTTAAATCTTTTTCGCGTCAGTATACTACTGGTTCTTAAATTAATCAAATTTTAAAGATATTTCCATACTCACATTGATGATTCTTTATCAGGATAATTATATTCAAATAATATTCTTGAATTTTAAATATTTTTTCCAAATTCTTAAATTTTTCAAAGCCTACACCAAAAACAAAAATTACCAAACGCCTATGTACAAACAGTACCTGTTTATATGAGAGAAATGGAGTCTAACAGCCACATTGCATGCAATACACCCTCTATCAGGTCGACCTCCATGCGGTTCCCCCTGGAGACCATCGTGATTAATTTATTGTTCAATCCGTCACGAAGGACCAACTGACCTGCTTTATTATTCATCCTCAGCTATCAGCCCTCACTGGTGCTTCACCAGTATATACAGATGACGCAGACAAAGCTATTATTTCATTTCATTTATTAAAAAAATACTGTCAAATTTCTTGAGGACTCCTCTCAATAAATTCTTTCCACCGTATATTTATTTAAAAAAAGAAGACATCACAAAAATGGTTATGAAAAGATTTATGTCTAATTGATTTATTCTTTTAATTTTTACTTTCATTATATATAATAAAGTAAATAAATCACAACATAATAGTATATACATGTATGTACTTATTTTGTACGCAAATATTTTCGTACATATTTGACCAGTTTCATTAATAATGAACAGTTGAATATGGTTGAATGCTCATTAATGTAACATACCAATATTAATTCGCTGCACTGTGAATATTAACTGTACACATATACATATTTACGTGTTATAAATATACTAGCTTTTACCCGTGACTTCGTCAACATAACTGATTAAAATTTACTGACGGGGATAAAAGTAGCCTATACCCTTTTCCATCTCATATGGTACGTGTATACCAAATTTCATAGTGATTGGTAAAGCCGTTAAAGGTACTATTAGGTAACAAACAAATACCCTTTCACATTTATAATATTAATAAGTATGTACAATATAAAATATATTACATAAAATTACCAATTCAACTAATATTATAAATATAAAAATATAGTGAAAGTGATTAGAAACTTTGTACAAAATTCGTCTATATGTCTACCTCCGAGTCACTCGTGTCTCTGCCACAAATATGGTAGATTTGTGTGACTGTGTTATGGCATGAATGATATAAATTCTACCATGAATATCAGACGTCACAACATGGTACCCAGGATGCTACTTTTGTTGTTGTTACCATCCCTAATGACTAAAAGTACAGTACCTCAGTTCCCTGTAATTTTACTGCCATTTGGTTTTGAGAATGGGACCCTGAAAAACAAAACAGCCAAATGCAAGCTTATAGTCAAAAACACAAGTAGAACAAAAAGAATGAGATGAGAAAAAAAATGCAGACTTTTAAGCAACTTCCAAAAAAAAAGGTTCTTAATTCGTCTGATATGATTGCGACTATATTATATGACTATGCCGCCAATTATAACCTATTTTTATAATTTCTCTTACAGTCGATAGAGTTTGTCTGTGTTTTAATTTTCTGACGATTAAAACTACCGTTTTTATTTTCTCAAAAAACCGCTTCTCTCGAAGCAAAATCTGTATGTAAACACGCGATTCCACATTCGAAATTCAAATATTTGCAATATAGAATATGAAATATCTCGACCTTTATATATATATGTGTGTATGAAGTCAGTTTTTTATGGAGCAATATGTATTTTGTGTACAAAATATTTCATACATGAAAGTATATCTATCTATTAGAGATAGGTACTGAATAGTAGTATCTATATATTTTAATTACAATATCTATATACTGGTCCAATAACGAATATGTTAAAAGTCTGTTATCCAAAAAACAATACTGGATAACAGACTTTTAACATATATATATATATATATATATATATTTTATGGGTGAAAATGGTATGGTAACCCCGCCTACGCTAACGAAATACGCTGGCGGAGCACCAGTGAAGGGTGATCGATGAGAATGAAAACAAGTCAGTTAGCCCATCATGATGAAGTCATCAGGAATAAATCATGATATTTTCCAGAGGGAACCGCGAGGAGGTCGACCTGATTGGGTATATTGCTAGCAATGGGATTCTCAGTCTTCATTACTAACAATCCCTTTCCCCCACTTTTAACATATTCGAAAATAGATATCCGACCGATGTAGGCAATATCGAAATGAATGATGACCTTTTCTCCGTCATCAATGTTCAGAGGAAGATAGATATCGGAACCTGTATCCATTTTACCTATACCTGCTATGTTATGTACTTGATATGAATAAACTGATGTCAAAGTACTCCAAATATCAAAATCGAGTAAATAAACACTTTCACAGAGATATTGGATCGCTTTTAACATTTGAGGAATCATTTCAAATTGGCATTTTGTTATGTTTGTCTCATTCTAGCACGCATCGTATAACCAAATCATTTTATGCATTGAATATTAAAGTAAACCATGTTTATACAAGTAAACAAAATTTTATTTGTAAATCATTTTACAAATAAAATTTGTTATAATATATATCTTTATAGTTTCTTTTCCATTTAGATAAAATAATACTTTTTGTATTACAATGTTACTGCTCAAACAGAATCCTAATAAATCCTGAAGAGTACTATTAATCCTTCTAATATTATACTCGTATACATATAAATTTATAAAGGTGTTTGAACGTTTGTTATCCAATAAACCTTAACGGTTGAAAAGATTTGAATAAAGTTTAATACACTAGTAGATTAAATCTAAGGTTAAGAAAGTTAATATGTATGTGTATATATATATATATATATATATATATATATATATATATATATATATATATATATATATATATATATATTACATATATTTTAATCCGTAATGATTTACGAGTCATTATGCACTGTTAATCTTGTTCTTTCAAATATATTCGTAAGAATTTTGTATCGTTATCTTTCAATTCAACTGTACAATATAATTTATCTAAGTAACAATATAATGTAAATTATGGTAACCATATTCCCGCACATATGTATAAAAAAGTTGTCCTGTTTTTGGAAAATCACTTGTATGAAGAAATTCCGTCCATCTAAAATATAATATTATGTAATCTATGTAATATAATTTCTATTTATATACGCTAAGAGACATACATACTCATAAGCACAAATATCTTATAATGAATGAATTGAACCCTCAATCATTTTGTTTTGAAAAAAAATGAAGCGATGTGTCAAACTACACTATCAAAGTCGATACTTCTATTATTATAATATAGTAGTATATGTTTCTTCATGTACATTATTTAAGCGCATAGAAATGCAGTTCAGCTTTATTTTCAAGATTTAGTACCATGTCGTTCATAGTAGGCTATAACATAAATCAGTGGGAGAAGGCCAGTTTATTTACTGCGGACCGATTGCCGCCGCGACCCATTTGCTGAAAGCTATTACGCTTTTTAAAGAGAATTATCGTATCTCATTAAATTTGGGTCCTATTGAATAATTATTATGAGTGTCATGTTATGCAGGTTTATTTCAATACGTTTTCTCTCTTATAAAATAAATCTGTTTTCTTTTAATATACAATTAGGTAATTAAATTCGTAATTGAATTTAATTACCTAATTGTATTAGAACTGGTGATTGCTAGTTTAAGTAATAAATACCAGACATATTACATTAACACAATGCTCTCTACTTACAAAAACTAAGCAAAACTAGTATACATAAAATTATATTTAGAAAATACCTATACCAAAATAGATATACTTATATAAAAATGTTTGTAATTATGTAGAAATCGAACCTACAACTATAGGAACACCTATATAACCTAGAGACAGAATGTTAAACTACTGTTCTACTAACCAAATAAATTTGTGGATTCATTTAAATATTCTCATTTTATAAAAAAAAATTGAGTGAATCGGACAAACTACTAAAGTCAGGGGGGAAGGGATTGTTAGTAATGGGGATTAGCAACCCCATTACTAGCAATAAACCCTATCAGGTCGACCTCCTCGCGGTTCCCCCTGAAACCATCGTGATTGGTTTATTGTTGAATTTGCTACGATGGGCTAACTGACCTGCTTCACCCTCATCTATCATCCCTCACTGGTGCCCCGCCAGTGTATACCGCTAGTGCAGACGGGGCTACCATTTCATTATCATCCATTAAAAAAAAACTACTAAAGTCAAAGATGAAAGAAAAAATAGGGTCAGAAGTGACGATTAGCAAACCACACAAGCGAGGATGAACCAAAATTGTTGGATGAGAAGGGTGCTAAAGTGGAAGCTCCGCGCTAATAATCGCGAAAGTGGTCGACCACCCAAAGGTTGGATACCAAATTTAATAGCGATCGGTTAAAGTGTTAAGGCGCTAAAAGGTAATAAACAAACACACCCACTTTCAGATTTACAGTATTAGTAAGGATAAACATATTAGGATGATATCAATGACCATTAGTAAGTTATATTCTTTAAAATAATATGTGGTTTGATTCTCCGACAAGTTATTTTAAGAAAATAAACATTTTAAAATTGGCTGTGATTTATTAGACGTATTACAATATTTTTTACAGTGTAATCTTCATAATAACATTTTTATATAGCTTTAAATACTTCGTAAACTTACTAGTGATAAATTATAGTGGCATAAGTAACATTTATTTCAACTACGTGAACCCACCGAACGCAAATGTAGAACGCAGTCACTCTTAATGCTAGACCAATCCATCATTTATATTATTTCCAAAAATACAAAAAATTAACTATACTTATAAACGTTATATTTATTCAAATCTATACTATATCAAATATATATAGATTTGAATATATATATATTCAAATCTATATATATATATATATATATATATATATATATATATAAAAGTTTTATCTATGTATTTTTTGTTATAATTGTTTTAATTCTAACAAATGACCTGTATCGTAGGAGAATTAAAATTTTAAAATTTATTGTTATAACAAAATTAGTGTGGGACTCATACGGTTTGTAAAATATTCATTAAAACCTATTAAATATAGGCGAGGGCATCGCATAACATACACACATAAAATACCGTCAAATTGAGAATTTCCTTCTTTTTGAAGTCGTATGAAAGTAGTAAACTAAAGAGAAATCTGATTGTAAGTAAAGCAACACAAAAGAAACAATAACATATGTATATAACATAAACGTAAATAAATAATGTTCAAAAATACATTTTATCATCATATTTCTTCCTTTTAATATTATAAAAACGCGAAAATTCGTTAAAATGTTGCGATGTTCGTTACTATATCACGCTTAAATGAGTGAGCGAATTTAAATGCAAGATTCTTAATAATAATTTACCGTATAAGCTCTTTTTATAAATTAACCACGTTTGCAAAGTCATGGAATATATAGCTATTTATTGTATAAATTTACTCAACTACTATTATAAAGAGAAAAGATTCAATTGTTTGTTTGTTTGTAAAGGAAAAACTCAAAAATTACTTAACCGACTTTATAAACTCTTTCACCTATAGAAAGCTAATATTATCATCGAGTAAAATAGACTATTATTTTCGAAAATTTTATCTACCAGTGACAAAGCTGACTGAGTCACTTCTTTATTATAATTCAAAGAATTAAGTTTAAATAATAATTATTAAACGCAAATAGCATTATATATAAATAAAAATAAGTGAAGTAAATAAATTCTTCAGTTGGAACTGACTACCAGACTGATAACACAAACTCTAAAGTGATGACTTCAATTTTGTCTAGAGGAATAATTATTATAAGAATAATTTTGTTATAAAAATTTAAATTTGCTTTCAAAAAAAGATCCACCTTTTATCATAACAAAAATATTATAAGACTAAAAAATTAGTTCGATAAAAAAAATGGTCAAAAACTGTTTACGATGATATCAGGTAACACAAACACAAATTCAATTAAATTGGGAACCTCCTTTATAAAGTTGTTAGAAAATTCATCCCTTAAGGAACTTAAATAATTTCTCTTAAGGGAATTATTAATAAAAACTTTTAAAGAAATTACCAATGAGATATGTCTTTATCAATTGGTTTATTAAAAAAAAAACAAACCTTGCATTATTCACACTTGATAACGATTTTCCAAATTGCAAATATTATAATTAAAATTCTCCCAAACAGTCAAAATCACACATCTCACGAATAATTCACTTCGCAACATCATTACTCATTATTTGTATAAATGTATTTTGTTACGTGAGTTTGTAAAAGTTTTCCCTCCATAAATATAGGGGATAAAACACGTGCCACCCTCACGGAGTTGAAACGCGGACTGGCGAGCTTTACTGACTGGGTGATGCGTTCGTTCTCCCGCTGCTACTTTGCTTAATACGCGATTGTTAGCTCAACTTTAATAAAGCTATTTTGATTTTAACTAACCTCTCCTAACCTATTGTTATCGAAAATATACAATAGTATTCCTATGCAAACGTTACCGTATTAATTTATAAAGGAATATAGTACATACTTTATTACTGTATATCTACCCCGTACTCCCTGCCTCCCTCTCTCTCTCTCTCTCAAGCTGTTAATTTTGTCTTAATGTTGTTAATAACAACAATAAGACAAAATAAATACAACAAATTCGTTAATCGCCATCAATTTATACATACTTACCTTACCAGTCATAGGATAAAGTTTGCCGAGTGATTTTAGATGACAAATTCTGAAAAAACGACAAACCTGGTTCACTTAGTTCCCGCGTCTTTTGTACGCGTTCTCGTTCTCTCTTCAAATTATCCAACACTTTTGTTGATTTGCTTAAGTATCACTGTATGTTACACGGAGATCGCGACTGATAGAATAATTCGCAACTGGCGGAGATTTTTCGTGATCTTGGCGGAACTTGACCAGCTCGACGCGCAGATGGATTATAGACTGATTTTGTCCATCTACCCCCCAATGTGATCCCAGATTTGATAGGGAATATGGATAGGTAAGGAGAGTGGAAGAATATTGCGTTCGAAAATGTTTAATGAATATACAAATGCTGAGATTATATTTACCATATCGCCCCCCAAAGAGCTATCAGGCTCTTTAGCAAAATTAGATAATAAATAAGAATAAGAAGATCAAAGAATTCTAAAAACATTGGCTTAAGGATTAATAATAAAAAAAATAAGTTTGACTAATAATATATATAATAAATTCAGCTATTTGTTAATATATTATGTGACGTTTTGATCATCGTAGACAATTTTGTATACTTCAGGGTTTTGGTCACATTATAAAATCACAAGAGGGGGAAGAGATAATCCAAACACCACCTTCCCCACGAAGTGTCAACTCTGAGCGACACTTCCAGGAATTCTTCATTTTCTGCGGCAATCATTATTACCATTGCCCAATTTATTATTTCCACAACATTTTCATCAACTGAATGAAGCCGGCTAACGCAAAAAATTGCTATCAAAACCTCAAAAAGCATCAAAATGACAATTCAGGAGACGGGTCAGTAGATTTTGAAACGAAATATTTCGACAGATATTGAATTTGTTAACATTGAGTTATGCAGTACTTAAAATCAAAAACCTTTTGGAATAGAAACAAATGTGATTTTATTTAATTAGCTTTTGAAATCGTAAGTTTCATAAAAACGGAAACATAGATCGACCTTTTGGAATTCAGTGCAAATTTAAATAGTGACTACGTAAACTGATAAGGAACCTTTTATACAGCTTGGTATCTCTATTATATTTGGCGAACGGCCAGCAAAAATAATATTTATTGCTTCCATGACTGGAAATTGCTGAGGTATTGCCCAAAAATATGATTTCAAAATACAATTTTAAAAAATCTTTTTAGGTAGGTTCAAACAGCAAAACAAAAATTTAAACTTCTGTGAATCTAGAAAAAGAATGGGATATTATAATTTACAGTTAGAATTGTTATAAGCTGATTCTATAATCCAACACTGTAATAAGTTACATTGTTCTATTTAAGATTAATTAGATAATTCTTGTTATTATTTTCTATTTATCATACTTATTATATTATACTTATCATAATAAATCTTACCAAATTGTAGTCATTAATTTTAAAAGACAAAAGAAAGAAACTATTTCCATTATATAGACAGTGGATTACTAAATTCCGTTGTTCAGAACCATTGAATGAATAGATCTTCGTCTTATTTCAAAGCTCCATTGAAATGGAAACATTTAATTGCAAATGGCTCATGGACACAGTTGCATTCAAATCGGCGCGTAGCCGTTATATCCGATCCAAACTGGTATTCAACGAGGAATAGTAGTTATAGCTGTGAATAAGAGATTATATTATTGTACTTGAAACTGAGTATTTAGTAAATGGTCAGCTTATTAGCGGTTTACTTGCTTCACAGAAATGGATTAAATAAAGGCGTAAATGCATTTAAATACTTCGTTATTTCTAATTTTTAACCCTAAATTTAACCAATTATAATACAATTAATTTTAAACTTTCGCGTTGTTTACACATATTTGAAACGTTGGCAATAAAACAGCATGTATGGTAGGTACTATTTACCTGCAAACATTTTTCATCGCATTAAGTCTCTACAAATTAAACACAACTATAATTTATTTTTAATTTTGAAGTTTCTACAAAAAAAATGCATTAAAAATGTATTGAAATTATATTTTGGGGGTAAACTTTTTAAAAGAATTAATGTGATGAGGATTACTTACTATCAATAAATAGTAATAATACATATACAACAAATAGTTTAATATAAGAGTAAAGTATAGCAATCTTAATATTAAGAACTTTCAAAAGATTATATTCGGAATATAAATATTTATTATAATAATAAATATTTAAATACAAATGCAATATCAATTTCTCCAAAATCCATTACTATAGAGTTTAAAATATTTCAATGGAACATTATTATTAACATCTGACAGTTACTGTTATTATTATAATGCAATAAATTTATATTGGGACCTGTATACACTGTACCTATAACGGATCATTTGCATAATTGGCTGTACGAAGCTCATTCCGATATCCGATTTCCATTTTCATAGAATACGGATGTAAACACTATCTAACATTCTGTGCTTATACTCCGGACAATCGTAGATTTTATAGTTTTCATTCATTGTAATGGTCGGTTTGCTGTAGTATATATTATTTTATTTTATATAGATACTTGTTCTTAACACAACTTTGTACGCATAACTAAAATATTATTTTGATTGACCGAGATAACAATATATGTGGCAATAAATGTTTCTAAAAGATAAGTAAAAGGAAAAGAAATTAGAATAAGTGTGATGAATGAAAAAGATGCACGATATAAATAACATTGGTAGACGAATGAAATTACGAAGATGGCATTACGACTTAAAAATGTATAAAGTGTTTTCGGAGTAAATAAAATTAATATTTTTATAATTCTCACTTGCGACCTCCCACATATAGCTTATGATATATATAGTGGAAAGTCACAAAGGACAAGTCCTTCTCTGTTCCACATATGTGCAAAATTAATTTCACATATATGCATATATAATATACATATTTTTTTCCCGTGTCTGTCATAGGAGGCGACTAAGGGAGCTTATGGTGGAAGGATAGACAGCAGCGTTCTTCTTAAAACATCGCCAAAAGTCAAACTGCAGTTGACAATTCACCTGCCAAACGGGACAAGTAGTGGTAAACCCCTCTTATAAGGAATAGGCCTCCCCTGAACCTACAGTAGTACAGTTAACGGCCACGGATACAACATACATCCTATTTGGATAGTTTATAACAATCTGTATAATAAAAAAACATAAATACATAAAATATTTTTTTTCTATGGATGATAATAGAATGGTATAAATTGGCGGGGCACCAGTGAGGAATGATAGGTGAGATTAAAAGGTAGGTCAATTAGCCCATCGTGATGAATACCTGGAATTCAGTACGATGGTTTCCTGGGTGGACCACATGGAGGTCGACCTAATAGGGTATATTGCTAGCAATATGACTGATAGTTCGCATTACTTACAATCTCTTTCTCCCCTAATATATCTTATTATGTCTTAACAGTTCCTACCTATCTATATGAAAATTAAATGATCTTAATTATTTACTAACTGTACTTTTACTGTAATAATGGCAAAATAAAACATAATTTTCTCAAATAGGAAATATATAAACTCCAAAAAGATCAAATATCACTGCTTTCCGCACTGAGGCGTCCATTTTAGGGAAATAAAATACAAAGAAAATATTTTATTTTTATATTGCGAAAGTCACTTTAATTTAGGGCTATTCAAATATTACATTGATATTTTTTTTAAACAAATGTCAAATGATAAAAATGTAAGGACTTACGTATATCTTAAATTAAAATACGAACCATCTTTTATTCTATAGTTCATGCCAGAGCGCAACTTTTATTGTAGTTATTCAGAGCTTTTCTCATTTTATATTTCTTAGGTCTTATGTTTATTAAGCACGAAGACATATTCAGTATTTGTTTATTTTATTTATTTTTGTAGTATTGAACGTGTAATTAGATACGTAAAGGATTCCCAGTTCTTTTTAAATCAAAGTGCGTTTAGTAATAAAACACTATTCACAACGTGGTTTCAGAGATGTTTTCTCCCACGAACACTCAGGTTATGGAATGAGCTCCCTGCCGAGGTTTTCCCAAGAGACTAGAGCATGGGGTTCTTCAAAAGGAGGGTAAAGAGTTTGGCTAATACGATGATGATAATGATTATTCTTTATTAGTTCAATACTAACCAAAAAGTGTTACATTATGGTTACATGTAAGTCATGAGCTCTTCATACTGGGTACAGGTGTTATACCTGAGTCCTCAGGAATAGCAACGCATGGGGGGTATCATGGGCGAAACAGTATACTCTGTTATGTCCATGGTACTGCTCATGTCTGTAGGCGACGGTTACCACTTTCCATCAGGTGAGCCGTCAGCTTGTTTGCCATTCTAAGTGGTATAAAAAAAACACGATTTACAATATTTAATAATAAATTGTATCCAATTTTTTAAGGCTGTAAAGCAGCAAATAAATAGGATAATATTCTCAAATAACTTGAAATAGGAAGATGTTCTAAATTCAGCTATTATTTTTATGTGTACTGTACGCAATATTTCCACAGTCTTCTCTGCGATTCGATGATTCTTTTAGAGTCGACACTACATATTACAATTCTCATTTTGTTGCTACCATATTGGTTTATTCGGGTATACTAATACCTATATCTAAACGGTATATTGTGTATTTGTGTGTTTTTTCCGATCTTTAGTATAAACTCTAAGTTGA